TCCTTCCTTCCTTCCTTCCTTCCTTCCTTCCTTCCTTCCTTCCTTCCTTCCATCCTTCCTTTCATCCTTCCTTCCTTCCTTCCTTTCTTCCATCCATCCTTCCTTCCTTCCTTCCTTCCTTCCTTCCTCCCTCCCTCCTTTTTCAATAGCACTTAGACTTATATACTGCTTTACAGTGCTTACCAGCCCTCTCTAAGCGGTTCACAGAGTCACCTTACTTCTTTGGATTTGTGTTTTCTAAACCGCAGAACTGTATACTACATTACTGTCAAGCTACAGTCTGGGTCCTCGTTTTACCAACCTCAGAAGGATGGAAGGCTGAGTCAAGCTTTGAGCCTGATGAGATTTGAACTCCAGACTCTAGGCAGAGTTTGTCTGCAATACTACATTCTAACAACTGCACGATCAGGACTCCTTCTTTCCTTCCTTCCTTCCTTCCTTCCTTCCTTCCTTCCTTCCTTCCTTCCTTCCTTCCTTCCTTCCTTCCTTCCTCCCTTGTTTCTCCTTCAGGCCTGGGATTCTTGGTTTTCATTCCCTGCCAGCGCTGAACCTGTTTAGCTTTTCAAGATCCACCAAGGTCCAGACCTAAAACGAAGAAGAAGTTTCTTGAAAGTGAAAACAATTCACCCATGGATCAGTTTGCCTGTAGAAGTTGTGGGTTGCTCCCACACTGGGAAGTTTTTAAGAAGGGACTCGACAACCGTTGGTCCGGTGGAATGGTATAGGGTTTCCTGATTGACCAGCGGGCTGGACTAGAAGACCTCTAAGGTCCCTTTCGACTCTGTTATTCTGTATGGAAGGGTTTTGCCCCTCTGGATAAGGCGGCTGTGATCAGAACCCCTTTTGCCTCTCTCCTGATCCCGCCTCTGTTGCTGTAACTCAGAGGTCTCCAAACTTGGCAATTTTCAGGCTTGTGGACTTCAACTCCCAGAATTCTCCAGCCACCACAACTATGCTGGCTGGAGAATTCTGGGAGTTGAAGTCCACAAGTCTTAAAGTTGCCAAGTTTGGAGACCCCTGCGTGTAACTCATAAAACGACATCCATAAATTTCCGTATAAGTTTGCCGTCTGCTCAAAAAAGGAGTGATCTTTTTTAATGGAGTTGAGCCCAGAAACAAAACCTTTTGGGTTTTTTTGGACAAGAGAGAAGTGATTTCTCATGATGGGGAATGTTTTTTGTTTTTTTTTCAAGTTTCCAGTCTAGTCTGTGACGCTGACATTTCCTGGTGGTCTCTGCTCCTTTCTGTTGAGGGAGGTACCTTCTCTTTCAGCGTGGCATCAACTGTGGAACATTCTCCCAATTCAACTTGTTTTTGTTTGTTTTTTTCCAGAGAATGCATGGGTGTTTGCCCAGGAAGAGTAGTCCTCAACTTATAACTATTCACTTAATGACCACTTGAAGTTACAATAGCGCTGAAAAAAAGTAATTTATGATCGTTTTCACACTTAGGAGCATTGCGGAAGCCCAATCATCACGTGATCAAAATTCGGGCATTTGGCAACCGACTCATATTTATGACAGTTGCAGTTTTGGGAGTTAACAGAATAACAGAGTTGCAAGGGACCTGGAAGGTCTTCTAGTCCAACCCCGTTTTCAAGCAGGAGACCCTGTACCATTTCAAACAAATGTTTATCTAATCTCTTCTTTGTGGCAGCCCCTTAGATTTTGGAAGGCTGCTATCATAAAATGGTACTAATACTTTACGTGATCTTGATTCTATCGCTCTGTTGAAGTGCGCCAGCCTAAAAGCTGCCAAGATGGAGAAACAATGCCCTAATGTTAATAAATTCAGAATCAACTTTTTGTGCAGGTCTATTCACACAACCTCCCTCCTGCATTTGGAAGGAACGGGCACAGATTATGCGGTGTAAGTGAGGTATTATGAATCAGCAAACTCTTTGCGATAGATTTTCCTGCCAGGAGTGAAGTGATGGATGTGGCTTGGCCACAATTAGTCAGAACGCATAGACCTTGGTAACTGTGCGCTCCTAATACCTGGAGAATCCAAATTGGATTCTCAGGGCCTCTACAATATCCCAGCGCCATTAAAATGATTTTTAAGTAAGAGCAGAGTGGAAGGTTGAAGCGTCTTCCTTGCAGTGAAATGAGGAGATAAGTGCATTGAAAAGGGAGAAGGAAAATATTTTAAATTCTCATTCTGAGAATCTCCTTGAGAAGAAAATATTTATAGCTCAGAGCTGAACTCTAGGGTTCTTGGTGCTCTCTGAGTTGGGCTGTTTTCTTGTAGACATTTCCTGACCCAACTAGGTAACAACATCAGTGGTAGAAGAGAGTGGGGTTTGTGGAGAGGAGGAGGAGGAGGACTGTGGGGTCCTAGATGCTCTCTGAGCTTGGTTGTTTGTTTGCAGGCATTTCATTACCCAACTAGGTAACATCATCAGTGCTACCCTACTTAGTCCTTAAGGTGCCAGGCCACTAAGTTTTAAATTAAAATAATAATAATTCAACGTACATAAATAAAATTGCATTTACTAAAATTATTATTTTTCTCCAACACAAAACAATATTTGTAGGTCAGGGTTGAATTGTTGGGTTCTTTCTGAGCTTGGTTGTTTTCTTGCAGATATTTAATTACCCAACTAGGTAACGTTATCAGTGCTAGAAGGGAGCTGGGATGGAGGAGGAGGAGGACAAATGTGGGATCCTTGGTGCTCTCTGAGCTTGGGTGTTTTCTTGCAGACCTTTCATTACCCAGCTAGGTAACATCATCAGGGCTATGAGAGAGAGGGGTTTGTGGAAAGGAGGAGAACAATTCACTGAACAGCTATGGCAAGAAAGTTTGTAAAATGAGGCAAAACTCACTGTCTCATTTAACAACAGAAAAGTTGGACTCAATTGTAGTGGTAATTTGAGGAG